GTATTGGGACCCTAATCCCTTCCCCCCTCTCTCTTTGTCTTCGGGCTGCATGAGGCAAGCACTTTCCTTTGACACAAGCTCCCACCACAGTGTACTGTTTCACTATGGGCCCAAAAGGAACAGAGACACTGAATGTGGACTGGAACCTATGAGCTCAAATACACACTTCCTCCTTGTCAGTGTTCGCCTCAGGCATTTGGCAACACAGGAAGTGACAAACAGCCTCTACCCTGCCTCGGCCCTCACTGCCCAGTGGCTCCTTGTCTCATCCTTCCTCATAATGGCGACTGTTAGTCATCAGACCACACACACACACACACACACACACACACACACACACACACACACGACTTTGCCAAATTACTCATTTACAAAAGGGGTCTCAAACCATCTTTTTAAATAGTTTCTCATAATTTTTTTCACAGTCTAGTCAACTTCAAACTCTTCATCCTATAACTTTCAGAATCTAAGTGGCTTCCTTTTTGAAAACTGAAGTAGCCCAGTAGTCACAATTTACAAGCTCTTTCCACTCAGAACTTCATTCGGTTCCCTGGAGTACAATTAGTCTGGGAAACAATTCATCCAAACTACCTCAGGGCAGTCCTCTTATCACCACATTTCTGAGTTTTGTCCCCTCTTCTCCCTCTTCTCCTCTGCTTGCTGTTCTTTCCAGATCGATGGTCATGTTCTGAGAAAAAATCACCCGAAATAAACTATGAACTGACATGAACTTGTCTTTCCCTCACTGTTGGTCTGTCACTCTTCATGTTTTCCCTCATTTTTTCATACACGGTTTGTAAAGCGCATCTTGGTGGGTCTCACAAGATTTGGTTTATTCTCTCCGTAGACCCCCCCTCTTTGTTCTGACAAGTGCCACCTCTCTAGTTATGAATCTTCATTCGCCTCCCCTGTATTATCTTTTATACTCACTCTCACTAGAAAGAGGGGACAAGGTTGAGTCCATCGCCTCATCACTGTACTGCTGGGTTTAATTAGGGTGAAGTGGTGGCGAGTGAATGTTGATTAAATGCTAATAAGATCTGCCTTTCTCCTTGGCTCCAACCATTCCCTGTGAAGCGCCCTTAACACTCTGTGGAGTCCAGAGCAGTAACGTAAATGGGGAAAGCACCGGCACCTCCATGGAAGTCACAGCACCCTGCACTGCCCTTGCTTTACTGATAATAAGTACTAATACTTAGGAAGCACTTGATGTGTCCGCAGCCCCGTTTGAAGTCCTTTATGTGTATTGTCCTCAGTTTCCGTATGAGAACATCAAGGCAAACAGAGATTTGTGCAGAATTGTGAAAGCACTATTGCGCTACAGAGTAATCAACAGTGAGACTCTGGAACCGGAGTGCTCGGTTCAGATCCCATTGTAGGGTCACCTGTATCCTCAGCCTGCCATGTCACTCCCCCATCCTCTACCTGGCTGGATGACTCTGGCCACACGAGCCTCACCTCAGAGTCTTTCAGAGAGTCCAGTTAGATGACATCGAACATCCTTGTGCCCCAGATATTCGAATATGCTCTCGTGCTGTTTATATCTTGGAGATACCCCAATGCTCATGTGAAGGTGCCTCCCACCTGGAACATGGAACACCAGTGTCTAATCCGAGTACTAGGGTGAGACACCCTAGAAAGAATACCAGAAACTGCTCTACTAGAATGGCACACAGAGATTTTTGTAAAATGTGGTGGGTCACTTGTACCCTGAGCCCAACTGCCTCTGCTCTAGCTGTGGGTATGGCTTTGAGCTTTAGATATTGGGACCACACAACATAGAATAACTGAAATGATTCAACAGTGGATTCTACTGGCTCAAGAACAGAGGGGAGTATTAGCCCTACAGTCCATTACATCTTTTTCAAACATTTTTCTTCCAAGACATCTTTATGTTCTGGCTCCAGATCACACTAAACCACACCTGGGCCTAAAAGAGCAGGAAAGGGTGGCAGAGGGAGAGAACATTGTCTTGAAAATTCAAACAATGAATCCTTAATTCTTAACCAAGTGTCTTGTCTTCAGGATGAGGAGGAAGACATCAGAGTTCAAATATAAGCACAAAACAGATCTTTTCCACAGTGTGCTTCACCCGACCTAGTGATCAAGGTGAGGGTCAGATGTAGTTATTTATACATTAGCTCAACTTCGGCTTTGGACTTTAAAAGTTATTAAACTTTTCACAAGGATAGAACTAAATATTGTAAGTCCGTGATTGCTGTGGCTATACTGTTAACTAATCGCAGTGGCATATTTGCAGTGATGATTTTCAATTTTAGTGATATTTCCAGCATTCTAAGGAGCATTCAATTAGATTATTAGTTTGTTCAAACAGACAACATATGATACATTTTTTCCTTGTAGATTTCCCACCGGTGTTCACCTCCATGGAAGTGAGTATTCTTGCAGCCATCGCAGTAGTAGTTTCAGTCCTGTAAACCAGGAACATGTGACCCAGTGAACGCTTTCCACTCACCACCTTTCAGCCTCCTGAGCATGGGCGGGGGCGGGGCGGGGTCACGGGTTCAGAACTCGGTGACCTGAACACACAACCTGCGTGGATGGGGCCCACCGCACTTCTGAACATCGGGAGAGAACAAACAGGGTGTTTTTCCTGAGACCTTGGGGCTTGGAGACAGGCCGTCAGCAGGTGTGACCCAGGCTGCTACGGTTTCTTAAGTAATTCTGAAGATCAGACTGAAGATGAGACGATTGATGGAAGAGGCCAGAAAGGTGAAGATCACAATTTCTGAAAAAGATGCCATTGGGTCATAACTGCCCCAAGCACCATCTCGGCAGGAAACGCCAAGCGAGGGCAGGGCCTTCGCAGGAGGGCTTGGCCAAGGCAGCCGCTCGACTTGGGCAGGAGCCCACCAAGCTCATCACAGACACGGGAAGGACGACCCACTTTCTCCTTGCCATGATTCCAGAACTCGTATTTCCCCAGCACATTTGATCCTGTGCAGTTGCAAGGGCTGAAGACAAAACCTAGGCAGAAATACACGAGTCTCAGCTATGCACCCTGCAAATTAAGCCTCACCCATATCAGGGAGCTGGGAGAGACCAGAAGTTGACAGAGAGTCCCCGGCCTTAGATGTGAGACAACTTCTCGTGACATAATCCTGTCCACAGCGTGGGATGTCTATCTTAGCGCCTTGTTCAAAAGGCTGTTTCTTGTTTGCTACAAGGAAAATAAAAGATTGGGCCAGGGATACAGCTCAGTGGCACAGCGCCTGCCTAGCAAGAGTGGGGTCCTGAGTTCAATTCCTGACACCAAAAAAAAAAAAAAAGAACAAGAAGATAGATTCATATCTAAAATGTCTTCCGTGCACTAGTTTCCTGAAAATCTTACAGGGAGAGCTTGATGATAATGTGCAAAATCAAAAGGAGATAAAATACTAAAGAAATTCAACTGTTGAACAGAGACAAAAAGAAAAAAAGCAATAAAAGAAAGTAATGTGAGGGAAAACTTATTAATTCTTTGAGCAGACATTTGTTCAGCATCTACAATGGGCAGGAAAATATGCCAATAGGATCTAAATAAAGACTTAGGCCACTAACCTGAAAATTAGCCAGGCTTAGTGGTGTACACCTATAATGCCAGCACTCAGGAGGCTGAGGCAGGAGAAGCACCATGAATTTGAGGCCAGATTGGGATATATAGTGAGCTCAAGGCCAGCCTGAACTACATAGCAAGAGCCCGTCTTAAAAAAAAAAAAATCTGAAAATAAAAGTAACCTTATAGGTAAAAATGGCTTAGTATTAAGTATGAAACTTTTTTATGAGTTTAATAAAATGTAGAAATGTACATTCTTCTTCAATGATAAAGTTAATTTGGCTGGATGTGATGGTGCCTGCCTGTAATCCCAACACTCAGGAGACTAAGACAGGAGGATCACCATGAGTTTGAGGCCAGCCAGGGTTGCATGGTAAGTTCCAGGCCAGTGTGGACTACATAGTGAGATCCTGTCTCAAATAAAAAAGAAAAAGCTAATTTGTAAACAATGTTTACTGAGCATTTAGTATGTGTCAGGTAACTTACACATAGTGTCATACTTAATGTTCACAAAACCCCCTAAAGGTAGGGATGCATCTTAACTCAGGCTGCTATGACGAAATATCACAAACAGAGCAGCAGACATAAATTTATTTCGCACAGTTCGGAAAGCTGGAAGTCCAACATCGGAAGGCGAATCCGTTTGGTCTCCGGTGTGGACTGTTTTCCTGGTTCGCAGACTGCCGCTGTCTTCCCACTCTGTCCTCACATAGCGGAGGAGAGAATAATACGAGAAAGGAGAGGAGAAAGACAGCGAGGAAGGAGAAGAGAGAGAATGCACATCCTGTGTCTCAGGGGTGCTGATCCTACTGGATAAGGCCCCACTCTTACCACCTCCTCTAACTACTTCCTTACTTCAAATACAGCTGCACCAGGACCCGCGGCTGTAAGGTGAAAGTTTGGGAGGAATGCAATGAAAGATCACGTCACTTAACAAATAGAGCTCACAGGTATTAATGGGACCACCTAAGCTCTCACAGCTGCTACGCGAGAGGAGCAGGTTTACGGACCTAGGAAGACAGACAACGGTCTTAACAGCCACCCTGAAGAAGACCTCATACATTACTCCGAAGCCTTCGGCCGGGACGTTGGTCACCGTGGTTTCTTGACTATTTGCCAATAGACACATTTTTCTCATAGGCATAAGTACATGTCCTCATTGATCCTCATGCTGCTCCTCATTACTAACAGGAATTTGCACACGCGCTTCCGTATGTCAAAAACATACGCCTGCGTCTTCACTAATATCTGGCATTTCACCGGAGCTTCTTATGAACCCCTTCGCAAGCCGACCTCCCTGCCACCGCCGCGGCCTCGCACCATCTCAACAAAACTCCTCTCCCGGTGCTTCCTCGCTTCTGGTCCCGCCCGCTCCGTCCCCAGGGCCGCGCTGACAGCGATCTTCACCCGCGTGAGCCTCGCCCGCTGTGCTCCCCGCTTCTAACGGCCCGCGAGTGCCCCCGGTGGGCGCAGAGCTCAGGCGCCCGCAGCCGGGTGCTCGGGCCCCTGGCCCTCGGGCTCGGCGGCCTGCTCCTCCGGCTCCCTCCCGGCCCCTGCCACGCCAAGCGCTGTGTCCCTGCGCGGCTGGCCAGCCCTGCGTCCCCACCTCACTCCCCGATGGGAGCCGCCCCCCGCAGCCTGCAGAAAGCCCCACCAGTGGAAGCCCACCTCCTCTGCCCCGCGCTCGCCCTGCGCCCGACTCTCCAGCCTATCCGCTGTCCTAGATCCTGTGCCTCCTCCCCCTACAGCACTGAGTGGCCGAGGGCGAGGACCCCCTGTGTATTCGCCTAGGTGTTGGGCACCCAGTACACGCAGCGAAGCCCCCTCAAGGTTTGCGGCACATGAACCGATTCACTAACGAACCAAACTACCCGCTTGGGCCCTTCCCCGTGTTCTCTCAGTGTGCTTGCTGTGCATCTTCCTTGGATGTGAAGTTTTGCACAGTCGTTCTTCCTATATGACTGCCTGGGAATTTGTTCCTCCCAGAGAAATAACATGGCAGCAAATTTACAGTTCCTACTTTTTACCAGCGACTCACCAGGACAATGGGCCTCACTGGGCCGCTAGGCAAATTGGGATCAGGGACCAGCAGGGCTGCACGCTGCGGCCCTAACCAGATCCAGGCACGAGGCCGCGCCCTGAAGAGTGAGCCTCTGTCTACCGCGTCGACTCTGAAGGTAAGACGTTCTCCATCATCAGAGAGAGGGAAGACACTACCCAGGGATTTTTAGGAAAGAAAACCACTGTCTTTCCTCCCTTACTTTTCCTAAATCTCTGCTACTTTATTTTTCATTTCTTATTTGTTTCTTTGTTTTGCAGTGCTGAGCGTTGAACCCAAGGGCTTATGCATGCCAGGCAAGTGCTGTACCACTGAGTCCTTTTGAAATTTTATTTCGAGCCAAGGCCTCACCCAGCTGGCCAGGCTGGCTTCAAACTTGCAACCTTCCCGCCTCCGTCCCCCAAGAAGCCAGCAGCAGATGTGCATGCAGGCCTCACTGTCTCCTGCTTTCACTTAAAGGAAAGAATTTTGTTCCCAGAAAGTTTTTACTTTAGCTTTTCTCTCTGCCTCCATTTCTTGTTATGGTTCCACACTTGGTCCTTTAAAGAAGGTGACAATTATTTTTAGGTCAATAGAAATTAGTGAAAGAAGAAAAAAACGCAGAGCCACTGACCCAGATTCCGACCTGGCTCGTCCCCCCAGCTGGGGCAGCTGCTCCCGGCTTTGCTGTTTGAGTAACCTCCGGGCGCCCCTTCCACCCCCACGGCTCAAGTTTGAGCTCTAGAGCAAATATTTGTCCACATTTTGAGCAAAGCTAGAGAGCTTTCTTCTTTTTCTTCTTTTGTAAAGTGAACTGTTCTCCTCTGTGTTTCCTTCGAACTTGACTCAGTAGGAAGGAGCGGTGTTCTCCCCAGACCATCTGCTCTGGACAGGTGGGCGAAGCTGTCCAGGAAAATGGAACGACTCGCGTGCGTGCTCCTCTGGTTATTTCTCCTGGAAGCACCCGCCTTCGAGATCCCCACAAATGGACTTTCTGAAGTAAGTAATTCCGGAGGACTCCTTGCTGCTGCCCTAAACCTATGGTCAGTAAAGAGCTGACGGTACTGTAATTGCTAATCGGTGACCGTGTCCCACGCAGACTGGACACTCATGGGAGTATTCAGCAGAGCGCCAGTGTTTCCTGGTGTCGTTACTGGAATGTGTGTTCGTCTGTTAGCACATTAACAGGCTTTGTATGAGCCTTAACTTAAGTGCAATGATCAGGAATCACAGCGCAGCATTTATGGAGCACAGTTATTGACTCCTAACTTAAAAATGGGAGCAAGAAAGACAAAATTTTTATGAGAATTACAGGATGTATATAAACCACCTAGCACTGTCCACAGACTAGTAAGTGCTTAATAATTGTCAGCTGTTACTGTTACGAAATATCGTGATAGCTCTTAGTAAAAGTCATTCATGGCACTGTTGCGTTTCCTAACTGAACAATGACTTCTGCAATAAAGGCACTTTAAATATTCTTGTTATGGGGGAGACAGCAAAGTGAAGGAATCATTCCCATGGAGGTCAGTGTCCACTTTGAAGCCTTAGCCACCCCAATATAAGGAAGTTCTTGGACTGAGTCATTCTGAAAGTCAGACAAGAGCTGCTTTTAAGCTAGAAAAGCAAAACATGTTATAGAACTATCCCAGCAAATGGAGAAGTTCTTCATGTTGGAAGAATGGATTGCCTACAAAAAATGCCAAGAACTGCTTTGAAGATGACAATACATAGTATAATAACTATTGTTATTTTCTTATTGTTTGGTTTTGAAAATGTGTTTTATTTTTTCGTAAAAAAAAAAAGGGAAAAAATGATGTTGGAGGAAACAGATATATTTACCCTGATTTAAACATTAACAGACTGTATACATGTATCAAAACATCATATGGTACTCCATACATATGTATAATTTTTACCATTTTATGTATCAGTCAAAAATAAATTTAAATTAGAAGTATTTTCTAATTGCAAAGAATTGCTAAGAATGTGATAGCATATTTGCAATGGGAAAAAAATCACTCTGTTTAGACACCATCATATTTTCTAATACTTTGAAAAGCACCAGCATGTTGGAATTTCAAATTGAAGCCAAGACACCCAGGTGTATTTGTGCTTTTTCAGTCATTTCTAACTGATGCTCCTTTCCTACATACATTTTTAAAGCAGGGAGATGAATAGTTCACATCCATCCCATCCAACACTGCGAATGTGCTAACCCCCCGCCCCCACCCCTCCAGCTCCACCCAGCTGCTTCCCCAGGCACGTACCTAACTACTGGGTCACTTTGACCCCCTACATGCCTGTTCATCATCTCCACACAAACAGAAAATGAGAAATATAATTCCTGCATCCAAAAAATCAGACGATGTCAATTTCCGTTTACTCTCCTCTGAGACCTAACTAGCAAACTTAAGTATACTCTAAAGAAGAAACCATTGTGTTAAAAAAAAAAAAAAAAAAGGTTGATGGAAGCAGAGTAAAGAATGTAAAAGAGCACAATGAATACTACCAGTGCCTCTTCTGCTCTACACATTTTTAAATGGAGAAAAATACCCTAAATTCTGTTTTCAGTTTGCAGAATACGGAAATCTTGTGGAATTGGCCCCAGGCAAATTTCAATTTGTCCCTGACAACCGGAGGTATCAGGTAAGTACGCTTTGCTCCTGAAGGGGAGATAGTGCATGAGCCCGTCCATGAAGAAGTAAGAGAGGTGTAAAGATGCCTGTTGCTAGATTTTCTCAAGAGCTCACTTTATAGCAGAGTCCAGTGGTTTTATACCCACTGTCAAGAAAGTGACCCTCCTGTGGGGTGTCCAGCAGCCTCCAACCAGAGTGACCACATAGTACCTCAAAGGGTACTTGGCTATGTGTTTCTTCAAAATGCAAGATAATGCAGTGGCTGCATTGCCTGTTAAGAAGGAATTTCCTTTTAGCAGCACATCTCTTAATCCAGTGATGACAGACACTTTCCACTGCAGCCACACATTTTCCTCCCTCTGGTCACTCTGTCTTGAGAAGCAGCCCAGAGAGCCCCTGGGAAGGAGACCTGGCTACATGGGGCTGCATCCCAGAGGTCACCGAGCGGGCAGAGGCAGAATCCCCTAATTCAGAGGGCTGAGCTCTCCGCAGTGCCAGGGAGGGTTCGGATTTTCCAGCACAGCCCCTGTGCTAAGGAGAGTATGCACTGAAGCAACTCTAAGCTCACCAATGACTTACTTTGTACAGGTGTGAATATTTGACTTTCTAAAGTCCAGGGTTTCGTGGGTCAATAAAATTAAAACCCAACAGGCAAGACTTCACGTTAGCTCTTCGTCTACGCACAAGAGAGAAAACTTGATTACTGAGCTTTGCTCTCAAAAAGTCCAGAAGAAAATAATCACTGTGTTACTCAGCATCCACTAAAACCTCAGTTTACCGCACATCTGGCAATCTGACATTACATCCCACACTTGACTTGTTGTATAATTCCTCAACAGCAAGTGTTCACCCATTGCTCTTAAGCCACTCACCTTTCAAAGATAAGGCCATTTCCTCTGTCCCTCTCACAGGACAGTTATTCACATGGATAACTTCCTAGCCTGGAGGCAGGAGCGCAGAATTTTTCAGATGCCAGCCACTGTGCTTGGCACCGGGGTTAACCATGGGGAAGGCACATCCAAGTCCCTGCTCTCGTACAGCTTGATGCAAAGGAGACAGACCCTCAGTAAATCATCTGTCGAGTAGAATGGGTGTTTACAAAGCCCAGTAGATGCTCTCAGGGAAGGAATAAGCCGCAGTGAAAACATATAGTAAAGGAAACTGACCGATCCGGAGATCAGAATTTCACTGAGGAAATTCTACAAGAGCTGAGATTTAAAGGGTGTGGTCAGAGGAGACCTGGCATTTCAGAGAGTGGGAACAGCATCTCCACAGCCCCATGGCCTCATAGCAGAATGGAACATCCAAATCACCATTCAACTGCATAAAAATAAATCAGACAGAGTAAAGGGGATCTATAGTACGCCATATGAATTTCATTGGACGTTTTGATTGAATATTCTACCATTGTCATTGTAGAATGATATCCATACAGCCAAGAATGGCCAAGAAATTTGTTCAGAGAAACTCACAGTGGGAAAATAATTTCAAGAATGTTCCACATTTATGTCTCAGCTCCAATGAATGAGCTACAGTTCAATATTGAAGGAAAATAAAATTTTTTTGACTGGGGGAACAGTTTTTGCCCTCAAGTTAATAAGTAACATGCAATTGAAGAATGATTGTCTAACTTCTTTTCACAGAGAAGCCTTTCTGAAGAAGAATCAGGTGAAAGAATGGTAAGTTTGCTTTGACTGTTACAAATTGATATCTGAATGATTTTCCTGTTAACTATTATCTGGAAATCAATAGAGGTATCTCTTTAGTCACCATCCCTGAGTGTATTTACCGGCCTTTTGAAATACCTTCCTTGCCCAATTCTGTTTGGAAGTATTTCTAAAATTTAGCAGTAACGGTACAGTTTGAGCAGACAGGACAAATGTCACCAAGAGATAATGAACGTCTTTTCTCTTTATTTTATGTAGTTTCACCAGCCGTATAGGTTCCATCCAAATGCATGTATTTATTACAACTTAAGAGTTTGATTTAGAATATAACACCTGACAGCTATGGAGGATAAAATAGTGGCTGTGGAAAAGCACTCTTGGACATGAGATGGCCCACTTCCTGAGATGTTCAAAGCGGACCATCTGGGGCTAAGGAACAGCCAGAGGAAGTGATTGATGTAGCACTTCCTGCTCTGTACTGACAATAACCGTTGGAGACTCATGCTTGAGGGAGAAGGACGAGTCAATTAGGCTGGATTTATCTTAGCTTGAGAGGAGGTTGGTATTAACTAGTTGCAAGGTTTAATCTTGGACAATAAAATTTGGAAGGTGAAATCTAGTACTGAAAAAAACAAGTCCTCTTGGACAAAAAAAAAAAAAAACTAGTAGGTCACATAATTGCCATAGATCTGAAGAAGCTTACAGACCTCAGGCATATCCTAAGATGCGTGTTTTTCACACCTTGCCTTTGGGCATGCAGACCTACTATGATTTCTTTTTTACCCTTGGGCTGCCTTAAAGTGATGGAGAAAGGTGGGAAAGGAGGTCCAGAGTGGGAACCAATAATTGCACCACACCACCTCTCCAGACCAGTCTGTCACTCACATGCATCAGTGTGCTCATAGCTCATTTTAATTTAATGAAAGAAATGAAGACTGGAGATGCAGGAGTAATAGATGGAACTAAAGCAGGCAAGAAGGAGCACGATGGCATTTGGGGAGCCGCATGTGCCCCTCACCCCACAGCAGCCCGGCCAGCACTCACTCCACTCCAAACACACGGCAAGCGTCCTCGATCCTTCTTCCTTTCCCCAGTGTGGCCCTGAATTCCAAGTTATTTCCTGGACATTCTCAATCCGGTCTTCCTACAGTCATTTTCTACATGGATTTTTTTTTTTAATTCTCTCAAAGTATCTCAAAACAAATTATTCCAAAACAAAAGCCAGTTTCTTGTAGGCTGCTCCAAGAAGTTAGGAGACTGCTCAAAAATACCTGAGTTATGTATTCACCAATGCCCTAGGACTGTTCACAACAAGCAAGATGTCACGGCTGTGACTGTCGTGTGCATAGTGACGTTCTGTGTGATTTTTCTCCGAGTAGTGATGCCTTCTTGCCAATTTCAGGAGGATGTTGATCAAGTAACTCTTTATAGCTATAAAGTCCAGTCCACAATTACTTCTCGGGTAGCCAACACCATCATCCAGAGCAAACTGGTGAACAACTCCCCACGGCCTCAAGATGTGGTGTTTGATGTCCAAATTCCGAAAGGAGCCTTCATCTCCAATTTCTCCATGTGAGTAGTTGCTCTTCAGAGCCAGACTTTGGATACTTTCTGCTCTACTGACAGAATCTGAAACCTTCCTCATGAGAACAGATCTTACCGGTCAACTGGTCCAGTGGTTCTCACTTCCAGAGCTGTGGAGCTACTGGATAGCAAGACTCACTATCCGATGAGTCCCCTTAATTTGTTTCTGTTCCAAGTACCAGAGTTCGTAAAGGATTTTTATTGTCAGTAAATTAAAGCAAACTTAATCTGTGTGGTAACAACCTTTTGCTTGCTTACATTTTAGTATCCTTTGCTAAGGGGAGAAAAATATTTCAAGCTGCCCTGGCTTATAGGAAACTACATAGGACTGTGTGCAGTAAGTCAGTGCCAGGCCAGGGATGTAGCTCAGGGGCATAAGCGCCTGCCTGGCAAGCATGAGGTCCTGAGTTCGATTCCTGGTACCAAGAAAAGAAAAAAAAATAAGTCAGTGCCAGCTGCCAGATGTTTGAGAACCGCTGATTGAATCTGATCACTTACCCAGGACCAACTTCCTCTGTTACATCACTAAGAAGTGGATGATCTGAGTTTGACTTGACTCTTTCCTTAATGATAAGCTCACTACTTCCCAAGGCAATCAATTTATGGCTGACAGCTCTGTTGGAATTATTTCGTATACTTAACTTAAACATTTTCCATTTTCTACCCAATGATTCTAGCCCTACTCCCATAGACTTTAAAAATTCTGTACAAAATATAGGTTGAAGTGCTCATGGATGAAATGATACGCTGTTTGAGATCGGCCGCACAATAATGGAGGCAGAAAGCATGGGAATACAGACAATTTGAGGCAGAATATTGTCCCTCTTCCGTGCGTTGTTTAGCATTCTTGGTGTTCTCCCACAATGCCAATGGTTTCTCGGCAGACTCATACTATTCTCTAGATTGTAATATATTTAAAATTTTCCATAATAAAAACAATTATAAACTACTCCAATAGCTTTCAAATTTTTAGGACCAGTTATCCACTTGGAGGGCTCATGATCAAGGATAAATATTCCCTGTTCCTATTCAAGCATTAGCTTGAATTACTTTTCATTTGTTCTTGTCTTTCATACACCAAGGTAATCAATGATAATTGTGAATGAATAAAATTAAGGGCTCATTAGCAAGCACTTTGGCTGCTAAAATCTGCAGATCCACGCTTTTGTTTTAAAAATAAGTAGAAAAAAGCAGTATGCAAATTGGTATCCTTTTAATTGCCATAAAGATTTACAACTTTTTTTTAGTTCTCTTCTAAAAAAGCAAATGGAAAGGGAAAAGTTGTTCTGTAGTGGTATTGTAGGACACCATGTCTATAAGCATACTTTAAACTATTCATCTAAATTCTTATTTTAAATCACATAATCAGAATTTATTTTAGGTATTGTTTCTGTTTTCCTTCTTTTTTTTTTAGTTCCCCTAGAAGATTTGAGGTGACAAAATACAGAACTGTGAAACATGTAGTTATTTTGGTCTCCTTATGACCAGGGCTGAAATTATAAGACCCCTGCAGATAGTTGCTTATTGTCACAATTTAAAATAAACTGCCCAAACCACCTCCATACCAGCCAAAGACTGTCTTCTGCCTTTTTATCAAGGTCCCCAGTACTCTTCCTTGGTCTTAAAGAACTGCTGGCCTTCGAGTCGTACTGTGCTTTGATGGATGAATGCAGACCTGGGCCTGTAGGCCCTGGCTCCTCCTCAGGCTCTGACCGGCGGTGTTCTGACTGCTGTGTGACCTTGAGCAGGCCACTTGGCTCCTCAGGTCTGCTGTCTCATCTAAAGGGGCTAACCAAGGAACGCGCCTCAGCGCAAGTGCTACTGTCATTTGGGGAGGTAACGTGTTTGAGGGGCCTGTCCCTCCTCCGCGGGTTGTCTAGCATTCTTGGTGTCCTCCCACAATGCCAGTAGCACTTTCCAGGCACGATAGCAAGCAAACTTTCTCCATACATTGCTAAGCGCATCCTTAGAGAGGCATTGTCCGTTTGAGTACTATTCCCACGTGCCTCGGAAGCTCTGTGATTCCGCTGCTCTACCAAAGCACTGCTCGGTGAGATTAGGTGCTGCCACTTAAAAGCAAGATGAGTAGAGACAGATGCAAAGAGAAGACACAGGCCCCCAAAGGAGAGGGTATGGAGACAGACACAAACTTCCTGATGGCATGTGTCTGCTCTTCCCTGCATCTCTGGTATTTTTTCCACCCTTTCAGGAGGAGATACTACCTTGTCTTAGTCTGCTGGTGCTGTTATAACAAGGTACCACAGATGGGTGGACTTGAACAACACAAGTTTATTTCTCACAGTTTTGGGGCTTGAAGGTCAAGATCGAGGTGCTGGCAGATTCAGTGTCTGGTGAGGGCTCACTTCCTAATTCACACGTGTCTGTTCTCACAAGGTCAAGAGAACTTCAGGGCTTCTCTTTGATAAGGGCACTAATCCTATTTGTGAGGGCTCTGCTTCTTCGATCCAATTACCTCTCAAAGGCCACTTGTAACGCATCATATTAGGGGTAGGATTCAACCTATGAGTTTGGTGGGTTACACACACTCAGCCCACTGTGTGCCCTCAGGTTATGCCTAGTTTTGGGGGGTTTTGTTTTTGTCTGTAGTTACTGCACATTGATCACAGGGTCTTCACATTGAACTACATTTCTAAGCTTTTTTAATTTTTTATTTTGAGACAGGATGCTAAATTGTACAGACTGGGCTCAAATTTATGATCCTCCTGCCTCAGCCTCTCAGAGTGCTGGAATGATAGGCATGTGCCACCATGATCAGTTTATCTCTAATTCTTTTTTGGAGGGGACAAAGACTTGCTATGTACTTTAGCCATGTTTGAACTCACTATGTAGCTCAGGCTGATCTTGAACTCATGGTAATCCTCCTGCCTCAGCCTTCCAAGTACTGGGAGTACAGGCATGCACCACGATACTCGGCCATCCCTAACTCTTAACTTGCAGAAAAATGACCTAATGAACCAAATACAAGTTAGAAAATTAATAATTTATCAGTCACCTCTCTTACATATCATTGAAAAAGGACACCCAAAGAGAATAATGCTTAATCTGATAAAATTTGCATACATGAAAGTTTAAATACACAACAGCACACAGGAGGAACAGTGCTTAGGTGGGAGCCATCCTAGCCCTCTCAAATCATAATGCCAGAAAAAGAGAATCCCATGTGTGAATTACTCCACTTTCTCTCTTCTTGTTTCTTTCAGACGCAAAATTGCCCCCATTCAATAAATCAGTCCTGTTGCACTGATTGTCTATTAGTTTTGCTAAGACTACTATTTTGACCAACTGCTTGTGTCCTGTCATTCTATAGGACCGTAGATGGCACAACATTTACTAGTACCATTAAGGACAAAACTATGGGCCGAGCTCTCTACTTACAAGCAAGAGCAAAAGGCAAGACGGCTGGATTGGTGAGGTAAGGGCGGGCCTGGCAGGGCCTATCATCTCATCCCCGCTGCTCTCCCTCTGCTTCCCATCCCCCCAGCACACGCCACCTCCAGAGGGGCACTGAACCTAAGCCAGTGGCAAGCTGTCATAGTCTGGTTGTAGAACTGGACATCACGATTTCTATTTCCCTAAGGGCTCTCTTCCACCAGTGAGTTTGGGAGCTTTCACATGGGTTGCACTTGTATTTCTTGTCTTATAGGTAGGTAAATGTTCTGGAAATAAACGCTGAGGATTTTTCCTAAAGAATGCAGAGAAGAGCTACAGAAATCCTTCCTTAGTAACCTTGCTGCAAAATTTACCGAGCCTACAGAAGAAAATGATTGGAATTTGTTTCAATGATTTCTTCCCCCTTATTTTTATGGGAGAGGGCCTTTGAAGGCATCAGTTACTAAGCTTAGATTCTAGGGATTTTTTTTTCCTTGATAGTATTGCATAAGACACTGAAAATGCCCAAGTCACCTCAAAAGTCCACCTTTCAAGCAAGATACTCAAAGAAATCTTTGACTTACCACTCCTTACACTGCGCGTGTCATTTCTGTCCACTTCTGCCAGGTTTTTTCGTCTACGTCCCCAAACTTGTCTCTGGCTGAAGTTCTTTTCATTTCACTAGGGCCCTGCACTCATTCAGCAAAAGCACATGGGATGTTAACGCTGCACCCAGTTCTGTTAGACTCAGCACGCAACAAAAATACTCTCAGACTTGTGGAGGAGACAGGCAGGAAAGGGTGACCGTTACGGGGTAGTGGGCAAGGGCTAAGGTAGAGTGCGCGTGCACATGGACAGGTGTGCGGTTCTGTAGCAGGCTCGGAAAATCCACAGAGGAAATGATGCTCCGGTTGAGCCCAAGGAGATCTGCGGAATTCAGCCAGGTGGGGAAAGGAAAGAAGAAATTCTAAACAGAGGGAGCACCTCCCGCACTGCTGCATGTTAAGTGGTTATTTTAACTGCAGGGACCATTTTACCATATTTACCCAGCACTGGGAAAAGTCCATCCACTCACTCACCCCACAGACATTTCTTTGTAACACAAACTCTTCTGGACACTGACGAGTTAGCAAGGAACACAGCTCACTTCCCAGCCTGCTTCTCAGGTAAACAGGGCCTTACCTCAAGACCCGGCACCAGGCCACGTTCAGTTTTTTCTTCAATGCCAGTATGCAGACTGACTGCCCACAGTGCAGTACTTCCCTTAGCCCAAATAGGCTGATTGTGCATTTGTTTACTTACTTCCTTTAAAAAACCATTCATTGTTAATTATAACACTGGGATCACTTTCACGGGATAGTCTTGCTGTTTTCTCTATAAAACCATAAACACCTCAAGATCAGTGTTCACATTGGACACCACATGGACAATGACAAAGCAAGGCCTTATACTGGAAATACATATCCAACTTAACGGGATAATAGAACTCTTCTCCCTGAAGACCTCCAAAAATATTAAGAATCCCTCACGTTTCAAAATGCAGTGTAGGAAATAAGTGCTCTCTTCAGAGGCACTGATACTTGGATGCAACTCTTGGTGCTACAGTTGACTAAAGCGGGTCCCTGAGCAGGTTACTTTCTTCTCTGAGCCTCCTTCGTTTCCATCTGGAAAATGAGGGTGGTGATTTCCATCCTGCAGAACTGCTCTATCAGACGTGCTGTTTGTCATGTTCCTGGCACGCACTAGGGACCAGTCACTGGCAGCTTTTTGTAGATGACACTCAAATCGGCAAGAAGCTGTGGAATCAACAGGTAAGGGAGGAGAAGAGATTGAAATTCTTGGTAGGGTTAAATGTATCTAGAAATCGCACTTCTAGGTGTTTATGTCTATTGGGCCTATTTCGTAAACAACTGCACAGGTCTGATCACCCAGCACAAAGGCCGGAGGGGTCTTGTAGCTCTGTCCTGTCTGATGACTTACACTGGGGGCTCCCACGTCTAGGAGCAGAGCCCTTGACATGGAGAACTTCAAAACCGAGGTTAACATCCGTCCCAGAGCGAAGGTGCAGTTCGAGCTTCACTACCAGGAAGTGAAGTGGAGGAAGCTGGGATCGTATGAGCACAGGCTTCACCTGCAGCCTGGACGGCTGGCCAAACACCTGGAGGTGAGCAAGGGTGTGCAGGGTGTGCAGCGACCCTGTCGCTTTTGGTTTCTATCCCTGCCTCATACTTCCTGTTTGTCACCCCTATCTGGGGCTCAATGCACTCAAGCCTGCAAAATAAGATGGTACGCTGAGCACGTGTGGTTCGGAGTCAGCCGTACCACTTCTGATTTCAGCACCAGCTCACCTCCTTAGTAACTGTATGTGTTTTCTGGGGGCTTTGTAACAGCCATCCACAAACTGTCTTATTATCTCACAATCCTGGAGGACAAAAGTCTGAAAGCAAGGTGTCGGCAGAGCTATACTCCCTCAGGAGGCTCGGCGGAATATCCTGTTCCTTGCTTTTTCTGGAGTTCCGTAGCTGCTGGCATTGTTGGACTGGGGGCTCCTTTTGTCAGTGTCATCCCAGTCTCTTCCCTTGTGGCCACTTTGCTTCCTTCTCTGACAACCTCAAATCTCCCTTCCCCTTTCTCTTGTACGAACACTCACCGTGGACTTAGGGCCCTCCCAGGAGCACAGGGTGAGCACGTCTCAAGACCCTTCACTTAGTTACTATCTCCGCAAAGACCCTTTTCCCAAATAAATTCACATTCACGGGCTCCAAGGGTTTAACCACAACATACCCATTGAAGGCCATGTTTTCCCCACAGCACTGATCTTCAGGGTCACGTTATCCTGAGTAGCTGCTTTCTCATCTATAAAAAGGACACTATAACATACCGAAGTGAAATAAACTTGTGGAAATACGAGTTTATGGAAATAGAGCTCGATGAGTGTTACCTTCCTGCACCCACCTCAAGAAAGCAGTGTCTAATCAGTACAATTAGTATGCATTAATTATTATAATTTTAAAAAGAGAGAGAGCAATGCAATGATCACATTGGCTGTTAATGTGAATTTACCTTTGCTGTTATTGCTTGCTTGAAAAACAGAAATGCAGCTGGGTGTAGCGGCGCACTCCTGCAATCCCAGCACTCTGAACAGCCGAGGCAGGAGGACTGCAAATTTGAGTCCAGCCTGGGGAACTTAAGGACTTAGCAAGACCTGTCTTAAAATAAAAAATAAAAAGTATTGAGGATGTAGCTCTGTGTGAAGGCCCTGGTTTCAATCACCGCTGTATCAAAAGCAAACAAAAAGACTGGAAATGCTCTTTTCTTTGCTTGAGTCTTTGTGACATCCTATGAACCTTCTATGTAAGAAGCAGAGCAAAGCTAGAAGACAGGACGGTAGGCAACAGGCCTCTCCCCAGGACAAATGAGAAAGTGAAGCAATAACAGCAAAGATAAATTCACATTAACAGCCAATGCAATCATTGCATTGCTCTCTCTATTTTAAAATTATAATAATTAATGCATACTAATTGTACGGATTAGACACTGCTTTCTTGAGGTGGGTGCAGGAAGGTAACACTCATCGAGCTCTATTTCCACAAACTCGTAAGTATTTTCACAAGTTTATTTCACTTCAGATCAGTTGTAAATTGCCCATAGACCAAGAAAATGAAATGAGGTGAATTAATCAGGGTGAAATTTTAATTCCAATGTGAACAACTGCACATCTGATAAATAATATCCCCTGCTTGGGATTGGTTTACTAACAGGATGTATGCTGTGAGTTGTTTTGGAGGCCATTCCTTTTGCACATACAGCACCTTTATGTGAATCAGGAAAAGGGGACTTTCCTCCTGGCACTCACTGTCACATGCCAGGACATGTGACTCAGCAAGACAGCTACTCGGGTTCCCTAGGACACTAACTATATGCTCCTGGTTATTTTTCTAGTAATGACAAAAGTTACCATATTCTCTTGCTCAGTACTATGAATCCCAAGGTGAGTAGTACTGAGGGAGCCGCTGCGTGAGATTAGCACCTACCTTGTAATGAGGCTACTATTGAGTTTGTTGATGACAAATGATGCTAATAAAAAGCTGAGTAAATGATACGAGAATATACACCTCCCATGATGCTTGGGGGGAAGTATTTATACCCACTATGTCATCAAACCCTCATCACAAATTAGCTATCATTACCCTTCACTTACACATTTAGAAAGTGAGACTCAGTTAAATAACTTGCCTAAGGTCACAGCGCTAACAAGTAATGTTTTCCTGGGCCTGAGTGCACCTAAAACTACATTCTAGGCCACAAGTCAATGCAGATAACCACTCATTGCATGTATCAGGTAGCACAGACGTGCAGACTACATAGTGAGCTCAGGACCACCTGAACTACATAGTGAGATCCTATTTCAACAGACAAAAAGAAATAGCAATTGTGACTATGGCTTTGTCAAGAATCACTAAAAAGGATTTCTCTCGGTTGAGCTCTATTTAAAGAAAGAAAATAAAAGAAATTTAAAAAGCCCCATTATGTAGGAAAAATATCTATTTTGACAGATCCACAGAGAAAATGCAGTATAATTTAATAATGGTTTTCCTTCTTCTTCCCCAGCAACATGAATGCTGTTAAAAATAAAAATTGGGACTGGGAATGTAGCTCAGTGGCAGAGCACTTGCCTAGCATGCGTGAGGCCCTGGGTTTGATACCGAGCAACACCAAATAAACAAAATTAGCAAAACAAAAATAATGTAACAGAATGGAGATGGCCCATTTTGTATTACTATAATACCTGAGGCTGGATACTAATAAGCAAAGAGATTTACTCGGCCTGGTAGTTCTGGTGGCTGGAGGGTCTGGACAGCATGGCGCCAGCATCCTGAGAAAGATCCCCCTGTCACAATGCAATAGAGAAACAAAATGAGATTTGGTTGTGTGCAGAGCGGGGAAACTACATGCAATGCCTCGCTTTGTAATAGTCCACTCTCTGGTGAACCAGCTGAATCATGCAGACCAGCATTTGTCTCTTCCAAGGGGACACCCAGGACCAATTACCTTAGCTCGGACCTCTTAAAGTCTCCAACATTGATGCGCTTGGGACCACGATTCCATGAAACTTTGGGGGACATATTTGAAACCATATCCAAGCTATAGCAAATGGGAATTAAATCCTGGTGAAATAAAGAAATGGAGTGTACTGAATTCATAGAGAGGGGTTAGGCCTCCATCCCATTCCAGGGAACTTCAACAACTTCCAGAAGTGATCATGGAAGACTTGGAGATGAAAAAAGCCTTGGATGATTTGATAGTACTTTCACTTCTTGCTTACAGCCTTCTGATGCTGTTCCCATCTCTAGGTGGACGTGTGGATAGTGGAACCCCAGGGAATGAGATTTCTTCATGTTCCTGACACGTTTGAAGGCCATTTTGAAGGTGTTCCTGTGATATCTAAAGGACCCCAGAAGGTACCATAAACACCGCACGTTTCCAGCCACCTGAGCAGCTACAGGCTCCCATGTTCTGGAGAATAAAAACTTGGTCTGATGTGGGGCCAAGCGCTCTATGTAAAGGACCAGCGATCCCCAGGAAGAGTCTAGGATCTTTTATTGAAGATATAAAACAATGCTCCCAATTGTTTGATTCCATTCTGGCCAATCACTGTCCCTTTTGAAACCTCATTTCTCCCTACTCATCTACTTGACAGTAGCTAACGACAGCTTTCACATAATACATAGTGCATTTCCATGACTCACAGCAAGAATGATTCAGCTGAATTCTTTCTGCCTCAATGGTCAATGGTAAGAAACTGTAAGTAAGTCAAACTCATCTGAGAGCCCTCACAAACTCTTTCCAGAGGTGGTGGCCATCCCTTCCTTGAGGCACAGGGGAGATTCTTTGAATCACTTTTTGAAAGATGTAAAGTGTGGTAGTCACATCCCTTGAAAGCCCTGGCTCTGCCCCTTCTGCCCGCAATGGGCCGAGTGATGCTGGTGGGAGGCACAGAGGCCCCTCGGCAGTGCCCTTCACCCCTGTGCATGAGCAGGTGCAGCCACCAAGCCCCGCCCTGGCAGGAGCTCGAGCAGAGCACAGATTCTGATGTTCTTGTTCCTTCCAGGCACATGTCTCCTTCCGGCCCACAGTAGCACAGCAAAGAAAATGTTCCAACTGCTCTGAGACTGCAGTGGACGGAGAGCTGGTGGTGATGTATGACGTGAACAGAGAAGTGAAGGCTGGTGAGCTTGAGGTCAGTGTAGACCGTCTCTGGTAGAACTGCCAAGCCAAATCCAAGGAAACTCCTTGTTGAAGAAGCTCCCTGGTCTGTGGGTAGTTTATAGCTGCCAAAGCAAGTGTGGAACTGCAGAGCAGGGACTAAAATCCTACTTCTTTAACATGCCACACATTATCTTCTGTGTCATAGAAACTAAATACAGGTTCATTGGGTCTTGTGTTAGTCAGCTTTCCATCACTATAACAAAATACCTGAAGTAACTGACTTATATAGAGGCAAGGTTTGTTTGGGCCATGTAAGAGGTTCATGACCACGTGGGCCCATTTTAGGCATCTGGTTGAAGGGCAAATTGGCAACATCTGGGAGTGTAAGAGAAAACAAACTGATCGCCTCACGGGCAGGAAGCAAAGGAGAGGAAGAACGTGAGGCTAGGAACTCACCATCCCCCTCAGGGTGCACTCCCAGCGACCTAAGGGCCTCCTGTAAGGCTCCACCTCCTACAGATCCACAGCACCTCCCAACGGCACCACGCTAAGGAGCGAGGTTTAACACACGGATCTCTGGGGGACACTACCCAAGTGCAAACCTTAGAAGTCTTGTGGTTTTTTCCAGAAGGGCATCTGCTACCACAGCAGCAAACAGAAACACTGAAACATCACCCAGGACTTGCAGGCAGATCTATTTAACATCAGTGGGCACTGATCTCCAAAAAGCGTCGGGCCCTGAGGGTTCAGGGAGGAGGTTATCATGGGGCTGCGAGTGGGAAGTATAGAGGCAGAGTGGCTTGTCAGCTGGGGACTGGCGTGTGCAAGGTGCATCACAGTGACCAGCCATTTGTGGGAAACGGATGTAACAGGAACTGTGATAGGAACTGAAGTGGACTGGAGATCACCTGGGCAGCTCACAGAAACTGAAGTATCCCGGCTGCGGGGGCGCGTTTCTGCCGCACTATGGAGAGCTATAGAAATTATAAACTGGGCTTTCTGGACAATGTTCTAAGGCCCTTTGTGATTAGATGATCAAAGAGTTGATGGGGTGAGGAAACAAGCACAACAAAGCCCAAAGGAAGGTCGGAGCTCGTGGTGAACCGGGACCGTGTTTATTGTGAGATTCCTACAGATTTTCCTTTCAGCCTTTGCCATGTCTAAGATATGTCTCCATTTCCCTTGTGCTAGCGTGGGAACCCCTAGAATGTATCAAAACACCGTGAGGCTCCCCAGGGACAGAGGGTAGAAGTATATTGGAGGCCACAGCCATACACCCAGCATCTGAGGACCGCAGTGTCTGGGATAGAATGAAGCAAAGGGTGAGGGGAGAAAACTAGGCAGCCAGCCACTGGAAGTCAGAGGAGGAGCAGAATTCTAGCTGGATGGCCTACCACTAAGATTAAGGAAAAAAATCTAAATTTCCTAGAGTGATACACAACGATCCTTTGTGAACTGTCTTGCTTAATTTCCACCAAGTGTCTTGAAACCTGGAATTCTATGGGCCCATCTTGCTGAGGCACTCAGACAGCCCCAAGGGTGCCATGCTCTTTCAGCTCTGCGTGGCATTCTCTTCCCCATTCCTCCGCCCCAACGCAGCCCAGCTCCCGCAGCAGCAGGCACATCTGTAGGTCTCAGCTGAGCTCTGTGTCTTTGAAGAAGATGCCCTCATCTGAGTTAGATGCTCCTCCATTGGACCCTCTCAGAGGCCTTTACCTTCCTGATCGCAGCACTTGGTACCTGAGCTTTAATTACTCTGGCTTGTCTGTGTCCTTCATTGCCATGAGTACCATAAGAGCAAGGACTCAGCCTGCTTTGCCTCTGGCTACCAGGGTAGAAACAGAGGCTTGAGATAAAGACTACGTGAAGCACAATGGCGTGGGATGAGGTGGAACCTCTGCCCAGAAGGCTTAGGACCTCACCGCAGAGGAACAAGCGGCAGCAGCAGAAGGCAGAGATGGACCTGCGCCTAGCTTGTCCCTCTCTTCTCCTCGGAGTGTCCTGCCTCCTTTCCCACCGCCAGCTCTCCTCTTGCTGTCCCAGGTCCCCATTCCCTATCTTCTGGCCGCTGGTCATTGACCTAATATGTATTCTATTTTCAGGTATTCAACGGATATTTTGTCCACTTCTTTGCTCCTGAGAACTTGGACCCCATTCCTAAAAATATCCTTTTTGTCATTGACGTTAGCGGCTCCATGTGGGGAATTAAGATGAAACAAGTAAGCACTACCTTCTGGGAAGTGGCAGGTGGGGCCTCCTTCCTCTTTGACCCTCTCTTAAGGCAGGAATGCGCCGCTGCTGCCCTTTGGGACAAAACTCAACAACTCAGGTTACCGCCAGAGGGTGCAAACTCTTCCAAAGCTGTGAGATTATCACTTGCTCTGTGGACATATGTCCCAGTTATCCCCCTTGTAAATTTTCCTTCCTCCTCAACTCCCTGTTTCCTGGTTCCTCCTCCCTCTTTTCCTCCCTTTTCTACTCTGTGTGTAACATTTCCCCGAGAAATCATTTCCCAGCGCACCTCTTTGAAGTCTCATCTCTGTATAATCTCTTCTCGCTCTGCTCATCTTCCGTGTCGTGGATTTCAGTTCTTCTGCATAACACTGTAATATCATCTCATTACTCATAAGTCACTTCCAAATAATCCCTTGTGCGTCTGATCAATTATATCACAATTCCTTGAAGTTGGCTCTCCTGACCCATGTCTTCTAGTTCAGAGTTCAGTGGCAAGTCTAAAGAATAAATAAGCACAGAGGCAAGTCTAAAGAAATAGCACAGAGGCAAGTTTAAAGAATAAATAAGAAAAATAGCTACGCGTGGTGGCACACACTTGTAATCCCAACACACAGGAGGTTGAGGCAGGAGGATGGAGGCCAGCCTGAGCTACACAGCAAGACCAAAGCTCAACAGTGGTTTATTCACTGCTTCCTTCCTTCTTTTCTTTCTTTCTTTTTTCTTTCTTTCTTTCTTTCTTTCTTTCTTTCTTTCTTTCTTTCTTTCTTTCTTTCTTTCTTTCTTTCTTTCTTTCTTTCTTTCTTCCTTCCTTCCTTCCTTCCTTCCTTCCTTCCTTCCTTCCTTCCTCCCTTCCTGTCTTCCTGTCTTCCTGTCTTCCTTCCTTCCCTCATCCGTTCAACAAGTATGTGTGAAGCGGCTATTATGTGTCAGATACTTAGCTCACCAGTAGGCAAAACAGACCAAAAGCATAAAAATAAAAAACAACAACCAAACAGAACTCCCCGGCTCCCTTAGCCAGAGGAATAAGTTATGAAGTTCTGCTGCAGGCTGGGGTGACAATAGTTTGAAAAAACCTGTTACAGATGTTATAACAAACTAGAAGAGAGGCTCTCAAAGGCTCCAAACACAAAAAAAAATGATAAGGAGATTGAATTCTAACTACCTGGATTTGATCAGTGCAGGCTGTATGCAGGTATGGAAAGGTCAAAGTATCATATGTTAGTGAATTTTTAAAAAAAATGTAAAACTTCATCCCTGCACTCATGGAGCTTACATTCTAGGGGGAAAAGGAGCAGAGAATAAACAACACACATAATTAAATTTTAAAGAGTGTTCAACAGTGGATTATTTTTAAAAAGAAGAGTATATCAGAAACCAAGAGTAGCAATTTCAGGAAGATGCCATCTGAAATTTGTAAACAAGCTGGGCATGGTGGTACATGCCTATGATCCTAGCACTCTGGGAGGCTGAGGCACAAGGATTGTAGTTGGAGCCCAGCCTGGACAATTTAGCACTTTAGCGAGACCCTGCCTCAAAATTTAAAGAAACAAAAAAAGTAAAGGACCAAGGATGAAGCCCAGTGTGAGGGCCCTGGGTTCATTTCTCTGTACTTAAAAAAAAAATTGAATTGTAAATTAAACGGATGGCTTCATTGATAATTCTTTGAAGAAACCTTTGGAAGGCAGAAAGAGCCATGCAGGCATCTGGAGGAAGACCACGTAGGTGGCAGGAAAGGCCAGTGAGATGGTGCCAAGCCAGGGGTGAAGGGCAGAGAGCAGGCCTGGGAACAGTGTGGGAGGTGAGAGCTGAGAAGTAAGGAGTGGGGGCTGGAGTCTTAGTTAACTTTCTCTTTGCTGAGTCAAGAGACCCCGAACCCAAAGTTAAAGGAGGAAAGGCTTATTTGGCTCACAGTTTGTAGCGGCTTCAGTCCATAATCGGCTGGCTCCAAGGCAGGGTGGCACAGCAGACGGGCACTGCAGAGGTGAAACAGTTCATGGCAGGCAGAAGGCAGCAAAACAATGAGGATGGGACCTTCATAGCATCTTTCTCCCCCTTTTATCTTTTCCAGGCTACTTAGGGAAGGCAGCACTCACACCCTTAATCCTAGTGCCCTTGAGCCTAGCATTGCAATCTGAATTCGTCCCAGTGTCACACACTCCAGATCCAGCCACCTCTGAGAAAGCCCCACCTAAAACTGCATGAGACTTTGTGGGGACATCCAGACACAGCCATAACAGCAGCTTATGTAAAACCTGCAGGTTATAGTCAGAACTTTGGCCTTTACAGTATTTAGGGATAAACAGAGAGCTACTGGGGAGAAGGTGTGAATGAAGGAGTGTCATTGAATGACCTGATGTGTGCCAAAGAGTATCTCTGGCTGCTATATTGAGAACAGACTGGTTCAGTTCTAAGGGTAGAAACAGGGAGGACAGAGAAGAGGCCACTGTAATAATCCAAGCAAGACAGGATAGTAGCTGAGGCCAGGATACCGGTTGTGGGTATGGTAAGAAGTGACTGGATTCTGAAATCTATTTTGAATGTACAGCAAATACTGTTTCCTGGAGGCATAACTGTTAGGGAGGAGGAGAAAGAAGGTGGAAAGACAGAGGTATCAGCCTGAGCAGTCAGAAGGAAGGATGGAGTTTGCCATCAGTGACTGGAAGACTCACAGAGAGAATCACACATTGTGGGGAAGAGGAGATTTATCTGGAGCATGTTAAGAGTGAGATGCTAGTAAGCATCCAAGCGGATCTGTCAAGGAGGATGTTGTCTGTGCAGTGCTGGTGTTCAAAAGTGAGACGTGGAGATAAACAATTGGAAGTCACCAGCGTGTAGAAGGTATCCAGCATGAGACTAGAGGGGAATGCCAGAGCGCCCATAGAGAGGAAGATGAACAATAGAGCATTCCAGCACCCAGAACTGGGAGGAGGACAGCCAGCAATGGCCATTAAGAGAAGGTGACAAAGGAGAGGGGGAGAAAAATCCTCGGAGACAAAATGAGGAAGTCGTACCAAGGAGGGAGTGCTGGTGACAGCCTGTGTCTGATGAGGAATTTGGAGTCCACTGGACTTAGCAACATCAAGGCCATTGATGATGACCTTGACAAAGGCACTTTCAGGGGAATGATGAGGATGAGCATCTGAATGGAGTGGGCTTAACTGAAAAGATTTGAAGACCATGTACCTAGGCAACTCATACGAAGAATTTATTAAAAGAGAAGCCTAGAAAGTAGGTGCAAGTGAGATTTTTAAAGGAACAAGGAAGTGCAGCATGTTCTATGTTTACAGAAATGTATCAACAGAGGAGGGGGATTCAGAAGCAAAGGACAATTGCTAGGGTCATGATTTTCGTAGACAAGGAGGAATGGAATTTAGTTTGCATTAGATGAATTTGCAATAGGTAGAAATACTGCTGGTTGCTCTGTACTACGCTGCAGGAGGGAAATGTGCATGGGTGCAAATGTTGCTAGCTGTAGTTTTATGGTGCTGGGAGTTTAGGACATTTTCTTCTGATTGCTTCAGGTTTTTGGTGAAACAGGAATTGAGGTCATCCACTGAGAGAGAGGAAGAAGGAGAAGTGAACTGCTCTGGAAGAAACACGTGGAACAGTAGTTTGAGATTTTCAAGTATTTGAGTTTCAAGCACTCAACACGGCTGAAGTTTGTGATCCTTCAAATAGGACTAGTCAAACTGGCTGTGCGGTTTAAAACAGAGTAAAAATTTAAGTACAAAAAAGTCAACAATATATGTTCAGAATGTGCCAGGGATAGGTCTGCATTAAGCAAGGCGGGCTGAAGCGGGGTTTTGGAAGATGTTCAGCTTGAGTCCGTGAGTGAAGGGTGGACAGGTCAGTGCGAGGCTCCTACTTCCTTCTGAGGCATAGTTTGTGTGATGAGACCTTCTAAATCTCTTTTCTAACAGACTGTAGAAGCAATGAAGACCATATTGGATGACCTAAGAGCAGAAGACCAATTCTCTGTGGTTGACTTCAACCACAATGTTCGAACCTGGAGAAATGATTTAGTCTCTGCTACTAAAACTCAGATTGCAGATGCCAAGAGATACATAGAGAAAATCCAGCCCAGTGGAGGTGAGGGGGTTTGGCCTAAGGCTGCATAGCTCAAATGTTGCCTCACTTAAGAATCACTGTTGCCCGCTATAGTGATCTCTGGCCAGCCTGCAATGGCCCACTCTAAAAGACACATTTCTTGTTAAATAATGAATATTGTTTATGGTAAAAGTAAAATGCATAATTCCACCCATACAAATTTTTAACCATTCCCATCTTTTATGGAAGCCTTCTCCAGTGATGGACACACTAGCCTTTTATTTTCACTTGCATAGCATGAAATGTAACTGTCTTCAGAGTATGTCAGCAAAGCTGACTTAGGTATCTTAAAGTGGGTGTTATACAAAATGATAGACAGGGGCTGGGGATTTAGCTCAGCAGCACAGCGCCTGCCTGGCAAGCGTGAAGTCGTGAGTTCGATTCCCGGTACCGGAAAACAAAACAAACAAACAAAAATGACAGACAGGTGCATTGAGGGGCTTCTTCATTTCCAAGGGGATAATTTAAATAATTTACTGCACTGGGTGATCTTAACCAAGTAGAGCAAAATTTACTTGGAAAGCTATCAAAGGAGTTTAATATTGAGTAAATTATGCAGGAATAATTATCAGACAGATCAGCTTGAATCCAAGATGTGTTGTGTGTGCGTGTGTGTGTATGTGTGTGTGTGTGTAAAGAAAGAATTTGCAGTGACGCATTATATCACTTTCACAGGCACAAATATCAATGAAGCACTCCTGCGGGCCATCTTTATTTTGAACGAAGCCAATAACTTAGGGTTGTTGGACCCCAACTCAGTCTCTCTGATCATTCTGGTTTCTGATGGAGATCCAACAGTAGGCGAGTATCACTTCAAACTTCCCAAGACAGATGTTTTTACTACTGTTCCTTAGGAATGTGATTTGCTTAAAATGAGCACTCACTCTGATGACATTTGCCTGAGTTTCTAACATATTTAAGTCTCTGCTTCCTCAAGGAAGTCTTCTGGCCTAGAAGGGACTTATCCCTTATGTTAGTCAGCTTCCGATTGCTCAGAAAAATACCTAACATACAATTTACCAGGGGAACGTTTTATTTTGGCTTGCGGTTGCAGAGGTTTCCGTCCATGGTGGGCTGGCTCCAAGGCAGAAATGACATGGGGAGGGTGTGGTGGAGGAGAACTCGTCATAGAATGACAGCAATGAAGCAGAGAGAAAAGGAAAGAGCCAGAGAGGAAGGAGCCAGAAGACAGACGTAGTCTCAAGGCCATGTCCCATGATCCACCCTCTTCCACTAGGTCCTATCTCCTAAATCGCTGTCACTTCCAAATAATGCCATCAAATTATGATGCTATGTACTGTGGTCCAGAGAACCCATTAATTGGAAAATGAAAGGCTGGAGAGATAGCTCAGTGGCACAAGCACCTGCCTGGCAAGCACAAGGTCCTGCGTTTGATTCCCAGTACCAAAAAAAAAAGGAAAATGAAGGCAATTTGAAAATGACTAAAGATTAGTGAAAAAAAATTATGATCCTATCAATGAATGAATAAAGTAAGAGCCCTCGTGATCCAGTCATCTTCCAAAAGGTCCACATGAGACTTCCGGGGACATTTTGGATCTAAACCATAACACACCCTAAGATGGTCTTCAGATGCCTTCAGTAGCTCTTGAGTGCCTCGCTTTCCTCTCCGCAATGAGGAGAAAGCTGAGTTTGACCTATAACAGTCTGGTGTTAGGATTTGCTGATGTATTTGCAAAATGCATGTATGTCCTGAACTTTAGGTGTGGGAAGACATGGGCTGTGAAGGAGGCATACAACCCCCGGCTCTCACAATAGCACTTCTGTGGTGACATCCTCTGTGGCCCACTCTTCTCCCTGTTTAAACTGGAGAAATCACTGCTCTCTGACACGTCCTTTAAGTTAATCATTCTTCTTATTCACAAAAAGTAGTGTCCAGCGTCTAACATCTCCTGGCTTTTACCATCCACGTTTATTTTTATTTGTTGTATTGGTGTCTTTACAGTGACAAATGAAAGTAATAGTGGGTACTAGATGGATTGCTCGAATTTGCCGTGTGGATGTGTCTAACCTGGGCCTGGCCTGCCTAAGCGGAAGGAGAACTAGTGAGGCGATAATAATGATTACAGGAGTTTCCAAAACACCCAGAGCAACCCTTTTATTAATAGTGAGACTAACGCGAGCAGGCTTTATCTATGTATTTATAGTGGATACAAGGCTTTTCCCTTTCAGAGCAGATAAATTAAAATTCATTTCTGAATAAAACCATGAGGAAGAAAAGAAAAAACAGCTTTAAAAAATGAAATGTCCTTTCCTCCTGCCCCTTAACCACCCGGTTCCTGACTGTGCCAGGCAGCCGTAGCCGGTTCTCAGGGAGAGTTCTCGCACGCTTGTGTTACACTGTGTGCCCCTTGGTACATGGACAAAGTGTGATCAAAACAAGTGTGTCTTTTATGAGAGCAAAGGACACGTTGCCATTAATTCCTCTCAGAATACGCCCCCTTGTGCACACACAGGTGTCCCATCACTCTTGCCACTTTCCGGAGCAGTTCTGGAAGTCTTCCTTCATGAGTGTCTTTAGTTGCTGTCATAGTTGCCTCAGTGTCCTGAGTCTACTCAAAACATTACCTTGCATGGTCATTTTGTCTTTGAGGAAGAGTGAGAAGTCACACGGTGCCAGACCCGGTGAATAAGGTAGAGGAGGACTCCCCGGAAGGTGTTTACGAGCCTGTCTTCCAGGCGGGCGGTGCTCCACAGCAGCACCCGTCACATCTCATAAAGACACCGACGAAAGCACTCCTAGAACAGCTGCAGACAGCGGCGAGAGTGATACGTGTGTTTGCAGTGGGGGAAGTATTTGATTAACAGCAATGTGTCCTTTAATGTAATAGTTTTTTAAAAATGTAAACATTCAGTCTATTATCAAGAAATCAACCAATAACAAATGCTGGCAGGGCTGTGAGGAAAAATGAACTCTTCTCCACTGTTGGTGGGAGTGTAGACTGGTGCAAGCACTGTGGAAATCAGTGTGGAAAATCCTCAAAAAACTAGGATTAGAAGTCCCATTCAACTCAGCTATTCCTCTTCTGGGTACTTTCCCAGAAGAATTAAAAACATTGTACCACAGTGATATATATATATGTGCACCAATGTTTATAGCAGCACAATTTGCAATGGCTAGATCTTAGAAACAACCCAAATGCTCATCAACCAAGGATGGATAAAAAAGATGTGGTCTTCTTATATAATGGAGTATTACTCAGCCATAAAGAAGGATAAACTGGAGACTTTTATGGGTAAATGGATGCAACTTGAATCCATACTCCTAGGTGAAATAAACCAGATGCAAATGTGTAAACATCATATTGTCTCCCTAGTGTGAGAAGCTGAAAGAGTAAATGTGATCCAAAATGTACAGTAGATATTGTAAAATGGGAAGAAACTTCAAAAGGAAAGAGAGACTTGTTTATAGGAATGGAAAAAAGAAGGAAGGGAAAAGGAAAAGGAAAAATATATATGTATATATAAAAGATAGTTAAGATATTTATGCTGCTAATTTCAGTTCGTTGAAAAGATAGTTTTGTGCTAATATTGTTTGGACAATTAAATGTTGATAGCTTGTACTCTGAGTAACTAATTTAAAGATAACAAACACAATATGTTGACCATTGCTACCCTCCTATCATATTGTTTTGGAATTTTGGGTTTTTTTGGTTTTTGTTTCTTTTTCTTTAAAAATGAAAAATTTTAAAAATGTAAACATTCACTGTATATTTCCATCACATCCTGCAGTTTATGCTTACCTGAATTACTCAATATACACATTGGTACATATACATAGGTATACACCTGTCCATGCATTCATATGTGTGTATATATATATATGCACAAGTATATGTTCAAATAGTGTCAAAAGTGTGCATCCCACAGTCATAACTACAGGGCACGTGTGTGTGTATATATATATATATATATATATATATATATATATATATATACATGCAAATACCTCCTGAATCATCCACTCATCTTGACTTTTTTTTTTTCCATTAAAAAAGTGTCTTTCACCTATAATTCCAGCTATTCAAGAGGCTGAAAAAGGAGGATCATAAGTTCAGGGCTAGCCTGGGCAACATAGCAAGACACTATTTCAAGCCAGAAAAAGTATTTTTTGTTGGAGACCACCCTGAGCAACATAATGAGACCCCAGGTTTTAAAAAGAAAAAAGTGCGATTATTCAATACAAACATGTACAGTTGCTGGGTCTGCTGGGTCCTTCTTACTAGCTGCATAATATTTCATTGTCTGGATTGGTTTAACCAACCTCGCTTATTGGTGTCCATTTGAGTTATTTCCATTATGTTGCTATGCCCAGATAATGTTGCTGGGGACCGTCCCTGTACTCCATTTCCACATGTATGAGTGCTTTGTAAGAAAAATCCCCAGAAGTTGCGTTACTGAGTCAAAGGGCAAGAACGTTTTTAATTTGAATAATTTTTGCTAAATGATTCCCTCTGGACTTTCCAAAACCTTCTTCACATTAGTTCCTCATCCTTTCCCTTCCGTCCTCACCAACTTCAGGTGAATTAAAAGTATCAAAAATTCAGAAGAACGTGAAGCAGAATATACAAGACAATATCTCCTTGTTCAGTCTGGGGATAGGATTTGATGTTGACTATGATTTTCTGAAGAGGCTATCTAACGACAACCGTGGAATTGCTCAGAGAATTTATGGAAACCAGGATACATCCTCCCAGCTCAAGGTAACAAGTTCTCCTTCTTTCCCGCTTTACACCCATATCTGACGCCCAGAGGAAGGTGAGTTTAATTCAAATTGCCATCATTTCAGCCACAGCCGGCTGTGAGAACCTGAGGGGTGCTCAGTTCCCTCCCCACGCACTCCCCTCCTCCCCTGGTATTCCGCACCAACAGTGCGAAGGGCGGGCCGGGCCTGGGCCCAAACAGCGGGGTCTTCCAGACACCACCCGGCTTCCGCTGGCTCCCTAGGCCCCCTTCTCCGGTTATCATGGTCACCTGTTTTCCCCCCAAAATTATCCCTTAAATAAAGAAGAAAAATCAGTACAAAGTACTTGTTTATTTTAATTAAATGAACCAGAAAATGATGCCAATGCCAGCATCATATTGAAAACCTTGACAAGTATGGGGCGAGTTTCTAATTTGGGGAATATTAACCCAACTGATTCTTATTATGATGAGCATCCATGATATTTTTTTTCATGATATTTTAAAAGCTGATCATAACGGAAATGGGATATCATGTTGGGCTCTTAAATCACAGAGAGTGGTTTAACAAGTCATGCTCATGCCTGTGTCTGAGTTTTTCTTAAATAAATAATTGTGTGTATTCTTTCTTGTCCCAGAGATTCATGAGAATAATTTAAGACATATCTGGTGAGCATGTGAAAAAAATGATAGGAAAATGCTTTTGATAAACAAGGTGACATGAAAATAAAAATTTCTCTGTGTTTTTTTCCCCTTTCCTTCTCTTGAATTGTAGAAGTTCTACAACCAAGTGTCTACTCCCCTGCTGCGGAACGTTCAGTTCAGCTATCCGCACCCCGCAGTCACAGATGTCACTCAGAACAGTTTCCCCAACTATTTTGGAGGCTCGGAGATCGTGGTGGCAGGGAAGTTCGACCCGGATAAACTACAGCAGATACAGAGCGTTATCACCGCAACTTCGGTACTTCTGCTCTTCGCTTTAGTCTGAACGTATAGTGGTGCCTCGGTTCACAAACTTGATTCGCTCCATGATTCTGGAAAAGATGGCCGTGGTCATGTTCGTCACCTGATGCAGAACTGCAGACAAAAAAAAAAAAATCTGGCCAAACGCTTCTCTTGCAGACCGAATTATTTGCACACAAAAGCGTTCATGAACCGAGGTGCCACTAAATGGTCCCCTGAGACGCAGCGGATCCTGCGAGTTCACAAGCTAATGGTCCGCATTCCCAGAATCCTGTGTGTAGAACGGGAGGAGCGGGTGGCAGACAAGGCACGAGACCCTCTGCCACCTTCCCAATTGTTGTGTAAACCCTCTTGTGCCCTCAGCCCAAGCCCAGCCTCTGGAGGATGTACTTTTTTCTCCCACGTCTTTCTCTTTTTTTCAGTATATTTTTAATTGGCATATGTCACTAATACATACAAATTACATTTGGGAAATAGGCATATATATGTTTATACATATGTCTGTATACATACATATATATAGTATTTTGACTGTTTTTAGTACCTTTTCCTCCCTTTCTTTACCCTCCCTTTTCTTAGCTTCCCTGTTTCCAAGAAGTCTGTCTCCTACCATCTCTCCTTTTTTCACTCTTTAAAACAGGCCCCTAAGGAGCAGGGCATGATGGTACATGCCTGTAATCCCAGCACTTGGGGGCTGAGGCAGGGGGATCTTTGCGCGTTGGAGGCCAGGCCTGGCTACAAAGTGAGCTCAAGGTCAGCCTGAACTGCATAGTGAGACCTTGTCTCTAAAAAGACCAAAAAATAAATAAATAAATAAAAATAAAACAGACCCCCTAACAGGCAATAAAACTGAAGCAGTAATAAAAACTCCCATTTCTTTTATATTCCTAAAAGTATGCAGTGCCCTAACTCACACTAGATGCTAAAACATGACTTGATTGAACAGTTCTACTCCGCCGGCACCCTTCAACTGAACTTCTCCTGTCTAGGCCAGCACAGATTTGGTCTTGGAAACCCTGGCCCAGATGGATGACTTGGAGGATTTTCTATCAAAAGACAAGCATGCGGATCCCAACTTCACCAAGAAACTGTGGGCCTATCTAACAATCAACCAGCTGCTGGCCGAGCGGTAAGGGCAGAAGCACACCACAGTGATTTGCAAAAGTTAATATTCACCTAGATATCTGAGGTCATGCACAGGGAGAGTTTGATTGTTTTTTGTTTCTTGAGACAGGGTCTTGCTATGTAATTCAGGCTGGCCTTGAATTCATAGCGATCCTCCTGCCTCAGTTCCTCAGTGCTGGGATTACTGGCACGTGCCACCATGCCTCGCACAGAAAGAGTCTGAAACCAGAAAGGAAGCAAATTAGCTGGGCATGGCGGCATACACCTATAATCCCAGCATTTTGGACGGCTGATGTGGGAGGTCGGCAAATTAAAGCCCAGTCTGGGCAACTTAGCAAGTTAATGAGACCACGTCTCAAAACAAAAGGAGGGCTGGATATGTAGCTCAGTGAAAAGGCCTTGTGCTCAGTCTCCAGTACTGAAAAGAGAGGGAGGAAAGGAAGGAAGGAAGGAAGGAAAGAGTGAGGGAGGGAAAGAAGGAAGGAGGGAGGGAAAGAAGGAAGGGAGGAAGGAAGGAATTAAGGAAGGAAGGAAGGAAGAAAGAAAGGAAGGGAAGAAGGAAGGAAGAGGGAGAGAGAAAGAAAAAAAGAAAGAAAGAAGAAAAGAAGCAAGAAGAAATTATATTAATTTAAAATTAATATAATGTTTTGATTATTTACTTCTACTGGTTCCCAAAACTTCAGCTAAAGCTAGATTCACTCTTAAAAAAAAAAAAATCAAGGAATAACATTCTTTTTTTCAGTATAACATTCTTAAAGTGTGTAAAATGTATTAATTTTGATGAATTTATGCTGGGCATGGTGGTGTATGCCTATAACCTCAGCACTTGAGAGGCTAAGGCCAGAGGAGCACTGTGAGTTCAAGACCAACTGGGCTATATAATTAGTTCAAGGCCAGTCTGAACTACATCATGAAACCTTGTCTCAAAAAAAACCAAAATAAATATAAAATTTATCTTGTATAAATATGAAATATATAGATACATCAGATAGTCCTCATTTAATGACATACCATTTAGTGACTGTTGGACTTACAACAGTGCATTGCTTAGACTTACAATCTGCTCAGACTTAAGACCCGTCTTTTTTCTGTGCAGTTTGACATATCTTGTTCATAGAGCCTCAGGGTCTTTTTTTTTTACAGCAAACCTTATTTATGTGATAAGGTATTTTTTGCTGGTTGTACTGCACAGTACAGTACTGCAGTATATGTTGTTATACATTATAGTATTGCATGCAAGAGTTATGCAAATAAAAGAAAAATCATTAAGTGGCAGTTTCCTCTGACCATTTTTTTGTTCTGAATATTGTAATGTGCTATGGTTTATGTCTAGATGTCCCCCAAAACCTCATGTGATCAGATGGTTTTTTTGGAGGTGGCTGAATCTACCTTTTCTTTTTTTTTTTTTTTTTTGGTTTTTCTCTGGTACCGGGAACCGAACTCACGACCTTGCGCTTGCCAGGCAGGCGCTTTTGCTGCTGAGCTAAATCCCCAGCCCC